CCCACCCCGCAGCATCGCACTCCGGGGAGAAGCCGGTCCCCACTCTCCCCCAGTTCACCATGGGCCCCAATGTGAAGATCAACGTGCTGGGTGAGTCTGCGCAGCGCCCTCTGGTGGCCACTGCTGGAGCCTCAGCCCCCTCCCCGGTGCCTGCTCCCTCGCATGCCCTCCCTGGGGACCGCGATGCTGCCTGCCCCGTGGGTGGTCACGTCCCTGGCTCCACTGCTGCTGCCGCTGCCGCGTGCCCCGACCCCGGCGCGCGGCCCAGCCCTCACCGGTCTGTCTGTTCATCTGTCCACAGAAGACTTTGAGGGAGAGAACCCCCAGGTGCCCAAGCTTGAGAAGAGCATCAGCGGGACCAGCCCCAAACGGGAACACCTGCCCCTGGCCGTGGGCATCGCCTTCTTCCTCATGACGCTCTTGGCCTCCTAGCTCTGCCCCCTCCCTTGGCGGGGAGAGATGGGGCGGGGCTGGGAAGGAGCAGGGAGCCTCCGGCCTCTCCAAGGAAAGCCCAGTAGTGGGGCCTAGACCCCTCCTCCCGTGGCTGGAAGTGGGGTCTGCACCATACGTCTGTGCCCACCCCCTCTGCCCCTTCCCCTAGAGAGGGCACTGTAGTGGACCAGGCACAGGGACAGCCATGGGTCCCCGGTGGCCTTGTGGCTCTGGTGACGTTGGGTACCAAACTTGGGGGCCGAAAAGGGCAGTGCTCAGGACTCCCTGCCCCGGTACCTTTCCCTGACTCCTGGTGCCCGCTCCCTTTGTCCTCCCAGAGAGACAAATAATGCCCCCAAGAGCGCAAGTCCAAGCCGGGAGGCGCCCCCATGGCGCTCCTCCAGGGGCAGAACGTGGAGAGGGGACTAGATGGGCGGGGGTAGCACCACACGCGGCCCCCCTCCCCCTGTTTACAGCAATAAGCACGTCCTCTTCTCTCCACTCCCACTTCCGGGATTGTGGTTTGGATTGAATCCAAGTTTACAAGCAGACATCCCTGGGGGGGCGGGCAGTGGACAAGGATAGCAAGGGGTGAGCATTGGGGTGCCAGGCAGGCATGTACAGACTTCTGTATCTCTATATATAATGTACAGACAAGTCCCTCTCCCTCCTGAACTCCCTGACCTTTCTCGACTTCCCCTTCCAGCTTCAGACCCCTTCCCCACCAGGCGAGGCCCCCTGCCCCAGGGGGCCCCCTGGCCCCTCTTTTGTCTTCCGTGAAGACAGGACCTATGCAACGCACAGACACTTTTGGAGACCGCGAGACAACAACGCCCCTCCCCAGCCCTGGGCTGGGATCCATCTCCCAGGCCCTCGCCCTGCTCACCCCATGTGGTCCCAACCATCCTCCTGGGCCTTTTTCAAGTGCTTTGGCTGTGACTTTCATACTCTGCTCTTAGTCTAAAAAAATAAACTGGAGAGAAAAGTAACCGAGTGCGTGTGATTTCAAGGGACCATCACCCTTCTGTTACACTGGTTAAACCCTGCAGGTCATGGGATTCTGTGGCCAAAGAGTCAACCGAACGCCTTGTTCTGTGGTTTTTCTCCTTTAAGGCAGGCAACTCGGCTGGGCACCGTGGCTCACGCCTATAATGCCAGCACTGTGGGAGGCTGAGGTGAGAGGACTGCCTGAGCAACTTGGCAAGACCTCATCGCTACAATAAATTTTAAAAATTAGCCAGATATGGTGGTGCACACCTGTAGTTCCAGCTACTTGGAAGGCTAAGGTAGAAGGATCACCTGAGCCCAGCAGGGCGAGGCTGCGGTGGCCAGGAGCATGCCACTGTGCTCCAGCTTGGGCAACAGAGTGAGACTGACTCAAAAAAAAAAAAAGCAGCTCTGGCCCAGCACATTGGCTCAAACTTGTTATCCCAGCACTTTGGGAAGCTGAGGCCAGAGGGAATTGATTAAAGCCAGGATTTTGAGACTAGCCTGGGCAACATAGTGAAACCTGTCTCTACAAAAAAATTTTTTTTGTGTCAGGACCTCACACTGTCACCCAGACTAGAGTGCAGTGGCACAACGATGACTTGCCACAGCCTCCACCTCCTGGACTCAAGCGATCCTTCCACCTCAGCCTCCCGAGTAGCTGGGTCTACAGGCATGTGCCATCATACCTGGTCAATTTTTTCTATTTTTTATTTTTTTGTAGAGATGAAGTCTTGCTATATTGTCCAGGCTGGTCTTGAATTCCTGACTCAAGTAGTCCTCCTGCCTCGGTCTCCCAAAGTGCTGGGATTACATGTGTGAGCCACCATGCCCAAATGATAAATATTTTTTTAGAAAGAGGCAGCTGTATGTGGATAGAGCAGCAGGGGCTTCCAAGTGGGGCCTGGTTAACTTTGGGCAAAACCCCTGGAACCTCAGGTGGCCCATCAGAAAATCTGGTTTATGACATGTATGATTCAGGGTTGGTGTAAGGATCAAATAACAGAAAGTTAAAGTCTCCATCAACGGTTTCCTCCTTTCTTCCCATTCCATTCTGTAATCAGAGGTTTTTGACTGGGGTCTGTGAAGGGGTTTGTGAACCTAGATAGGAAAAAAAATTACATCTTCATTTTCACTTGTCTCTAACTGAAATTGACCATTTTCTTGTGTACTTGGGCAGCAAGCCATAGTAGTAGCAACAGTACCTGTGACTTTGTAGCCAACAGAAATCACAGATGTTTTCAGATTGCATTATAATTGTTGACTATCTCAAAATATCATTTATGCTCGTTACTACTTTGAAATGATGATAGTTGTTAAACCTTCCTTATTCTAATGTGTTAATAAGGAAACATACCTATTACTATACCAAAAAATGTAAATGTTTGAATGACCGTGTTTCAATATAATTAGTTTCCTTTATAACCCTTGGTAGTTTTATTCATTTTAGAACATTATGCTGAAAGGCAGGAGAATACCGGGGCTGGGGCTGCTTGCAGCGACAGCACGAGGCAGCAGGCAGGAGGGTGAGGGGACAAGGTGAAAAATGGGGACTGGGGAAAGCAGTCAAAGATCACTTCTCGGGAGCCCAGGCCAGGTGAAGTCAGGGCCGTAGAGGCCCAACGGTAGAAGGGGGTGCGGATGGGCTGAAATGTACCTGAGGCTTCGCTTGCTGAGTCAAGTGCCCTGACCCAGAGAGGGGGTGCCTTCTTTTTTTTGAGTCAGGCTCTTACTTTGTCACCCAGGCTGGAATGCAGTGGCACGATCACTCACACCTCACTGCAGCCTCAGACTCCTGGGCTCAAGTGATCCTCCCTCCTCAACCTCCCAAGTAGCAAACTACAGGTGTGTGCCACCATGCCCAGCTAACTTTTTTATTTTTGCAGAGACGAGGTCTTGCTATGTTACCCAGGCTGGTCTCAAGCACCTGGGCTCAAGCAATTCTCTTGCCTCAGCCTCCCAAAGTGCTGGGATTACAGGTGGGAGCCACCAATCCTGGCCTGGGAGAGGGAGTCTTCTTATTGCCAAGTTGCACACCCATGGGACTTAATGCCCCAGTTTCTCTCATTGGCACCATGTGAGCAGGTTGGATCCTGTGAACTGCTCCTGTGTGCCCCTGGGGCTCTTGCCAGCTGCTCCGTGAGAGTGAGCCCCTGGCAGCAGGGATGTGTGTTCTCTCCCTCTTCACTCACAAAACACAGGAAATGGAATCTCAGCCGGACTCTGGAGGGCAGGTGGGCTTCCCAATGGCAGAACAGAGAGGAGTACGGGGTGGGGGGACAGGTGGGGAAAAAACGGGTGGCAGCTGGTGGGCCAGTTGGAGATCTCTTCCTGGGAGGTCAACCTGGAAAGGTACTGTCCCTGTGTTCAATCTACACGTGCTGAGAACCTGCCCAGGGCCAGACTCTGTCCTGGGTGCTAGTGATACAAAGAACATACAGCCCCTGCCCTCAAATAAGCTCATAATCAGCATGTGTTGACGCATGAGCAGAAATCGCTAGCAACACACACGACATCATCACCAGCTCTTTCTTTTTGTTTTTGAGTCGGAATCTCACTCTGTTGCCCAGACTGGAGTGTAGTGGCCGCTCCCGGCCACCACAGCCTCGACCTGCTGGGCTCCGGCGATCCTTCCACTCAGCCTTCCAAGTAGCTGGAACTACAGGCGCGCGCTACCACGCCCAACTAATTTTTGATATATTGTAGAGATGAGGTCTTGCCAAGTTGTTTCATGGGCAAACGCCAGGGGCCGGTGGAAACACCAATGAAATGCACACTCTTGCCTGGGAACACAGGGAAGGGCCTTGAGGAGGAAAAGAGGTACATGGCTGGGCCCTGCTGGGGAGAGTCTGGAAGGCCTTGAAGTCTGAGGAGGGAGAATTTTTCCCATGAGCGAGCCACAGCAGTGGACCTAGGCTGCAGGTCCCCCCTTCAGTCCCAGCGCCAGGTGGGATGGGGGCTGGCTAGCCTTGTGGATTCAAAAATCCAGGAATGGGAAGACAGTGGAAGGACCAAGCGCAGGGGGACAGGAACCAGAACAAGCCAAGTCCCATTCACTGAGTACCTACTCTGCGCTGAGCACTGTGCTTTCCTAAGTCTCATTTAGTCCAATAACACAGCTGAAGGTCTAAGAGCCTGGTAACTGGTAGGACTGGCATTCAAAGTGGGTCTGACATGAGACTGGGGTGATAGGATGGCCTTGAACCCAAGAGTTCAAGGCCAGCCTGGTTAACATAACAAGACTTCTTAAAACAACAACAACAAAGTGAAGAAAGTGGGTCTGCGCCAGGTACGATGACACACACTGGCAGTCCCAGCTCCTTAGGAGGCTGAGGTGGGAGAATTGTTTGAGCCAGAAGTTCAGGGCTGCAGTGAGCTATGATCCCACCTGTGGATAGCCACTGCCCTCAGGCAGGGCAACATAGCAAGACTCCATCTCTAAAAGAAGACAAATAAGCAAAGTGAGTCTGTCACCATGCCCTGACCATAGAACCTGTACCACCTCCTGGAACCCTTTACCACAACCCTTTCCTGACTGCCTCCCCTCATGCCACAACCTGTCACCCCCTCCACCCATGCCACTTGGAGTCTTTGTAGAAATACATCAAAGGACCTTAGATCTGGGTCAAGTGAGCCAGTCCAAACCCCTTATTTTAGAGACAAGAAAATTGAGTCTCAGAGAGAGCAAATGGTGTGCCCACGGTCATGCAGGTGTCCATCGAAGAGTCAGGACTGAAACTCAGGTATCCTGGGGCCCCATCCTTTCTTCTACCATACTGTGATGCCCTGGAAGAGAAGATTCACATCTTCCCTGATATTTGAAGCCTCTTAATGCACCACAAGCAGCGACTAAGGAAGGAACTCCAGTCTCTTCAATGTCCCTTTCCATTTCCCAACCCTGGGACTTCAAGAAACTGCGGGTCCTGCCAGGGACCTTCCCCTCAGGCAAAGCTTTACATCCCAGAGCATGAGGAGGGACCGTGGAGTGGGATCAGCACTTAGATGGGCAAACGCCAATGACCCTGAGTCTGCACACCAATGACCCTGGCACAGGGCCCCTGCTTGGTGACACCAAGGTCTGCAGAGCCCAGTGTGTCCTGGCCAAGGCAGTGGTGAGGTGGCACCAGTGGCAGGGTCTGAGGGCAGGGGCTGGGGGATGGAAGGAAGGAGATCCGCAGTCCAGGTCCAATACCGGCTGATGGACAAGATAGAACAGAGTGGCTTCAGCTCGGGGACTGAGCGAGATACTGGGGGTATTGGGTGGACAGCAGCAAGGCTAGCTGGCAAAGAGAAGCCAAGGTGGGCTTGCTCCTCCCTCCTGCTCCACCCGGCACCTGGGTATCCTTAGAATCTGCCAGCAGCAGCCAGTGGGTGCCCCAGAGCCTGGACATTCTGCCCATCCTGCTGTCCCTGCGCCAAAGCACGTAGCCTTGAATCAAGGGAAGATCAAGTCAGTGAACTGTGCCAGTTCTGGACAGACCACACCACCTCCGAACGAGCACCACCCCCCTAAGAAGGGTCTGCTTCCTCCTTGTTTTGTGTCATTGTGGCAGCCTCCAGCAAGGGCATCAAGAAGGATCACATCAAACATGCTTGAAATCCCAGAGCTTCTCATAGGTGCATGCCCCGGGCACGGATAGAGAATCTCACACACCCATCCCCTTTCTTTCTTTACTCAAGCCCAAGGAGGAATAAAAAAAAAAACAGCAACTACAAACAACTGAACACAGATTTGGGCTTGGGGAATGAAGGGTAGCGCCGGCCCACCCTCCCCTCCTGGGTAAGAGGTCTTTCCAGCCCTTCCAGTTAGGTGGAAGAAGGAGGTGTTATTTGCAATCCAGGCTAGGTAAAAGCCCTGCTGCACTGTGGGTTCACCACTCAGGGCCTGCAAGTCTGATGACATCCACCAGGTGGCAGGGCACCTGGGCTGGGGTCCTGGTGTGAGTGGCCCTCGGGAAGGGCTTGCAGTGAAGAAATGCCGGGGCGGTTGCTGGCCACT